TTTTTCTGGGGTGGGACGCAGGGGTACGCATACCCCTAAACATTTTGTGAACGTAATGGGAGAAGAAACTAAAAAATTAAAATTTTTAGTTTATTCTCTAGCGCAGTGAATCATCAGTTCCATTGCTACCCCCGATGGTGGCCCTTTGTCCATTTGCTGTATTTATTTTTCCTGATTTGAACAATGAAGTGGTGCTGTTCTTAAGTGAAAATGAGAGTACCCCTAAACTTTTTTAAAGAAAAAAAGCACTGCATTTAAAGCACATATAAAGCACCTTCCCAAAGAATCCTGGGAACAGGTAGATTGTCATGGGTGCTAGAAATTATAGCCTTGTGAAGGGTAAACTACAGTTTGCAAGATTATTAGGGGGATACTTTAAATATATGGTGTTTATGAAGCCTAAGATCGGACAGGAAAGTGACTTATTAAACATTAAGCATGCACATATATTTCATCACTAAAGTCCTCTTCAAGCTTTATTTAAAGTGAGTTAGCACATGAGGAGCAATTGGGGCTGAATACAATAGCTCTGCCCCCTCACTCATTATTTACTGCTTCCACCTCATGGAAGCCAACTGTCTGTAATGGGAATATGTATCTGTGTGTCAGGATTCAGCCTGGACTGGACACTGGACCTGAGAATCTCTGCATCACCAGTGACCCTGAGGAGCTATTGGATCTGGACATCCATGCCCCAGGACTGGAAATTCCCAACCAGCTGCCTGGGTTTCTGGTTAGCTCTCAGGACTGCCACCCAACCTTCCCCTCATGCTTCATGTAAAAAATAATGGGAGATTCTCAATAATGCTTATTTCTTTGTACATGTGGTTGGGATTCCTTTGTTTTTGATTCGAAAGCATAACAAGCCTCTGCCCCTCCCCCTCCACCAAAATAAGTGTTCTATAATGAGTCATTACCCTAATTTCTGGATTATTATATTTGTAGAGACATAGTAAAGTGTGCTTGTGTGGCGGGAAATAAAGCTTAGGTTAAAAGTCTGAAGAGCATGAAAGACACACTCAAGTGCAAAAGTGGAAATTGACTACCTTTTAAGCTATTGAACAAAGCTGTAAAAAGATCCTAGATACCATTTCTGTACCTTGAAAAGTTGAAGTGCTCTATTTAGATAGAAATATATAGCCCAATAACATGTTTTCTGACCTGTAGCTTGAAAGAAAGCAACAGTAAAATGAATTTCATGCCAGCAGACACTTTTTAAAAACTAGACTTCGCTTCAGTCACATTAGCTTAGATAATGGGGAAAAATTTTCTTCATTGAAATGCTCTCTGTAGCTTAAGAAGAACTCGCTGAGGCAGCCTGCCATCTAGCTTTTTCACAGCAAAACAGACTTTCAGACTGCAGATGAGAGAGTCAGGAGCAGAGACAATTTTAACTTAGCCATCCCTAATTTATCTCAAGCCTTTTTCTATTTATCTTCACTGCTGTATGCACACTGGAACACCAGGCTGCCGTCCTCTGGGAAACAGAACGCAACCAGGAATCTTGGAGAGGTGTCACAGCCTGAGAAATATTCAAATTGCACTGATTTTCTCCTGGAGTACTGAGCAGAAGGAATGAAACTCTCCATCAAGTCCCTGCTTTGCAGGCAATAGATCAGAGGATATTGTCAGTTTTCTTGATGGATTATTGTTATTGGGCAGGTTCTTCCTGAAGGTAGGTAGTTACTCTCTCCATTCATTAACTATGCTGTTTATCAGAAAATGATCTAATGGGCTGGCAATCCAAATATGTTCAAGCAAATGTTAAGTAAGTAACCTCTATTGATTGAATGATGATGGCACTTTATTGCAGCATGGTTGCAGGTAAAATACTCTGAACTGCTTACTATTGGTCTGTATCTCCTACCGTACCATAAAATGCTCTGTCAGCAAACACACACACACACACACACACACACACACACACACACACCTGCAAGCTGTCTTAGTATAAGTTCACATTGGCTGCCCTGATAATTTTTCTACAATGAATCATAGCATTGAGACTGAGAAAACATTTTGGGGGGAAGCAGATACCCATCTATGACTGTTGATACTGGTGGGTTGAACAAAATGGTAGAATGCTTCCGAGAAGCTCGGAAAAGTTTCGCAAGTACATGAATTATTTTCAGTGGTTCAGTATGTTCTGAGGTATTACAAGTCATTTAATATCAAGACATTTCATCAGATATGATAAACGTGACTGGCGTTTGCCTTCCTAATTTCAGAAGCATCCCGATAAAAGTTTATTATGCAGCCAAGGACATGAATGCATTAAAAATCTACAGGAGTAGTAAAATAATAGTAATAACAAAGTTCTGTGTGACTTAAGAAGACTTTTAAGCATGTGGTGCTTTGGGTAGACCCCCCCTTTTTTAAAAAAAGGAAAGAAATAGGAATCATTTTACTGTGTTGCAGAGAAGTCAGCATTCAAACTGTTTCAAGGTTCTGCTTGCTGGAAATGACAGCAATTGCATTCAGGCTGAGATTGGTGTATCATGAAATTATTCTTGATGTAACATTGCTGGCTTCAGCGTGTGTGTGTCAGCAGTGAGACACATATATTCTAAGGAGATGTAGGAAAGGAACCCGGGAGGGAAACCTGATAGCTGAAATGATGCACAGATGTCCTTTTTCTGTTTTTCAGCATGATATTTCATGCTTACAGATCATACTAAAGCTCCTTTTCTTCCAACACATTGCTGGCATGCCTCTTAAAATATATGACTAAATAGGTCATATCTGGAGTTTCTGACACCGCTGGTGGGATGAATCGACTAGCTACAAGTTGACACATGTTAGCTGTGCTTTCTAATTTGTTTATAGAACTGATATTGTCAGTTCATGGAAAAGACATGGCAAATCACGTTTGTCAGGCGAAAGAATAATAACAGAGAAGATGGAAGAGCCAGAAGCACTAAGTGGACATCTTAAATCACCATCCTTTGGTGAATATTTAACATTTCAGAAGTAATTATGATAAGGAAGATTATGTGCTGGGCTTTGGCATGTCATACTTTTGAAACTTCTTTTACAACTAGAGACTTTAGATGGAAAAGAGACGTGAAGTAGAGATAAAGGGAACTGATTTCCCCTCAGGTGCTATGACTTCTAAATTGGGAGCTGGGGTGCTAGCCTGTGGCCCTACAGGTGTTGTTGGACTCCAGCTCCCATCAGCACCAGTTAACTTGCTTGGCCAATGGTCAAGGATGATGGAAGTTGTAGTACATTGGCATCTAGTGATCCATAGCTTATCCACTCCTTCTCCAAAACATGTCCCCTTCCACTGAGATTGTAGGAATTGTGACAATATGAGGTTGACTAACCCATCTTAGAGGTTCCTGTCTTTAGGAAACATCACTCAACTTTTCCTTTTGTATCTTTTGTAAGAGGCATGTCTTCTTTTTCAAAATATTTAACAACATTTTAAAAAATTGAACTTCTTATTGATTTATAAGGCACTCCTTGAAGGTTTGACATTTGGAGTATTTCAGAAAATCTAATCTGACAGGTTGTCCTCAACTCACCTCCTACACTAGCATGGCCGTACTCAACTAACTCTTAAAGGTTTGAACTTTCTCAAAATACAAGCAGGCGATTACTTTTCTTTGAAAATGCTTTCATAGTGTAAAGTATCTCTGGTCTGGCATGCGAAAGTCAGGTCCAATCCCTTGTACTCTCAGTTCAAAGGAGCAGATGATATGTCAAACCTTGTCTAAGACCCTGGAGAGTTGTTTGTTACCCATCAGAGTGGACAATACTGACTCAGAAGGAACGTATTAGGGATAAGATTCCCTAGGAGATGTTAAGCTGCGGATACTGTCAAATATGACATGCATCCTGAGGTGGTGCAGTTGTGTGAAAGGTGTAACACATGTCCCACTGAGTGTTTGATTTGTGTCCTCCTTCTACTGATGTTATTTGGATTCAGGATATAAAGATGTTTTTATTTTGTTTTTGGTCTTGACTCCATGAAACCTCAAGTGAAATCTGTGATGGTTTTCAGATCACAGATGTGCCACTTCTGTCACAGTATGATTTTATTTGTAAAATACAGAGAATAATGCTTGGGGAGATGCCATATGTCAGTGATGGTCAAACACATAGCTGGGGTCAAGTCAAGGTTCATTCTCTAGAATCTCCAAACTTTGAAACCCTTCCTTCTCAAGAGAAAGAAAATTTTCATGGTAGTATGTATCTGTTTTTCTATCACAGTGACTTTTCTTACCATTCCTTATAATTAAATATGACTATGTAGGCAAATAATTCCATTATCAGATACCAGCTGCTTATACCAAGAACGGATTTGAATATTGTAATCAGAACTCACTTCGTAATTATCCTCTTAATTTATTTACTATTAAGTAACCAAGATTCTCAAATGAATCATGGCTATGAACATCAAAAGTGTGGATTCCTTACTTTCAGGCATTGAATAATTTTCATTGTATACTGACTCTTGGGATTTTTGTTAAAAACTTTTGGAAATATTTCCATTTTATTCTGATGCTACAGTAGTGTTTTGCCTTCATAACAAATTACTGAGGTGAAAGACATAAAGGAAATATATGATGAAAAAAGTGATTCATTTTTAAGGATGCACTGCTGCTTTCGTGTCTTCGATTCAGTTGTCTGTAGTAAGTCTGTGCGATATTACATGAATATCTTCATAAACTGATATATTTCCTTTATAAAATTTAAACCAGTGTTAAATTTAATAAGCGATACCCAACAGAATCATACTCCAGAACCAATGGAGTTTTGTTTCCTTTAAGAAAAAGGTCACAAGACTTGGAATATACTTAGCGTTGAATATCAACCGCTATTTGGGAGACTAATGGGAAAATGAAACAGGCAAAGTAGCTTTCCCATACCAGTCACCATTACTTTTATTATAATCATTTGTTTAAAAATACAAGATTCAGGTAGGTAGCCATGTTGGTCTAATGCAGTCGAAATAAATTAAAACATTAAAACATTGTCCATTAGCACCTTAGAGATCAACTAAGTTTGTTGTGGGTATAAGCTTTCGTGTGCATGCACACTTCTTCAGATACCTGAAGTATCTGAAGTATCTGAAGAAGTGTGCATTCACACAAAAGCTTGTACCCAGAACAAACTTCTTTGGTCTCTAAGCTGCTACTGGAATTTTTTTATTTATTAATTTTTTAATTATTATTTATTAAAAATACAAAATAGGGAACACTATAAGGCTTCTGTATGGAAGTGTTTTGCAAGTAGCAGATTACACTCTTTCCAGCCCAAATGGTCACTAGATATGCAATGAATTGGAAACCCCAAAAAGCCGGTACGCAAAGTATTTACTCTTTTTTTAAAAAAGCCTTCCTTCAGCAAAGGATACTTTCGAATGCATGAAGCACTTTCTCAGAACAATTCCAGCACTTGCAGAATAACCATCAAGTAGCCTCTTGCCCCACTTCACACCCCGTATCCAAAACTGGGTGGAGCAATTGACTCATGGTGTTTGAGCTTGACTTTGGTGGAACTCAGCAGACGTAAATCGAAATGATCTGTTTTAGATCTGCTGTTGACTAGGATGACCTATAGCAAACCTAAAATGGATAACGTGGTGGGGGCAGGGGAGAAGCACCACAGCAAGATGGAAGAACAGACACAAAATCAAAAACCGTGTATAAAATTCATATCGTAATGCATATTAAACTATTACACATTTTCATATATTGCCTTTGTGAATAATTACTTACATAATACAGCTTGCATCTTACAGACCGATTGCAGAAATCAGTGAAACTTCCATACCATCCAACATTTGAACTGCACAGTAATTTGCAGACATAAATTAAACTGCCATATCATTTGGTGTCAATGAATTATCCCACTACCATGCATTATGTATAGATGTGTCTGAAGAATATTTCCCCAAAGGTGTTTGTCACCAAGTTGCTAAAACGTAACTTCCTTCTTCAAATCTACCCTGGCTCTTTTCTCCATACAGCTTCTATACCCTGATCTCTGCTTCCACCCATTCCCGATCTCTGCTTCCACCCATTCCTGATCTTTGCTTCCACCCATTCCTGATCCTAGTTGGTGGGTATGACTTGTCCCCTTAGCTTGAAAATTATCACCTGGATATGAGTGTCTATTGGTATCTAAAGCTAGAAAAAGGATTATAGAGATGGGCATTTCCTCCCTTTACAGTGTTGTAATATTGGAAAAATGCTGGAAGATGTAGAAGTTGTTGCAGCAATCAGATTTGGAATCACAAAGCAAGCCACACTTTTTAAGGTGCATGGCCTCATTCTGTAGCTAGAATGGAATAGTCAAAGCATAAAAAGAAAGGGACAGAAGTAACAGCTTGGTAGAAGAAGATCCTGCAATCTGCATACACTGAAGCAGCACATAACTGGGCTATCAAGTTGGGGGAAATGGCTATTGGTTCTTGAGTCAATGTGGTCCCTGTTTATATGATAGGGAGACTAAAAAAGGGGGAGGGAAAGCAATGGAAGGTAATCGAATAAAATGAAGGGGTTACAATGGTGACCTCAACTCACAAGGGTGATTTGTGAGCTAGATATAAAAGTCAACAACAAACAAGAAATAATTGCATTGGCAATAGTGCCTGAGCAAATAGTGGCAGTGCTAAGATGGAGAACCTGCCATGCTCTGGGTCTCATTAAAATAAATTGTATATGCTAGAGGGCAGAACAAACCAAGAGGGAGCTTATTCTCTGATGTTGTTAAGGAAGCTGCCTACAGAATATACAACAGAGGTAATAGAACCTAGCTACTCCACATCACATATCTAGAACTATGGCTTTTGCATTAAAAAAAAAGAAATTATAAGAGGCTCTCTGTGCTTAATAATAATAGAAACAGCAGAACAAGAAATAATGCTATGAAACTTTTGCTGTCATGCCGTTGTTAGCTGCTGGGCCTTTCCTTCGGTCCAGAGTTTTATTTGTTTACTGGTATTTCTGTTTGATACATGTAAATAATTGTGGTTCTCAAAAATATTATTTAAAAATATATATAGAAAGATTAGCAAGCCAATAGAATGCGTATGGTTTTTAGTAGAAATTGAGGGATAAGGTCTAAACTACATTTATGTTCTCATAAGGGAAGGAGGAGAAATTTGGCTCAGTTTGTATGTCAACACAAACCTAATCTGCACTTTTGAAAACAATATGCAAACTGAAACAAAGCAATCTTTCAAAATTCACAGTTGTGGTTCAAGGACCCGATCCCCACGTAGGGCAATGAAAACACACGGACACGTGATATAAGGTTAATGGGTAATAAAAAGGCCACAACTTAATTGATTACAGCAAGTGAAAAGGTATTGGCTTAGGCATTGGATCACGTCAGTTGACTCCACCCACTCGGAGAGGGGTGAGTCTAAAAGGGGGTTTATTCACCAGTAGGTGGAGCCTGTTGATGCTAATTCAACTATAAGCTCTCCCCTGATGTCACCGAGGGTCGTGCCATGGCCCCCCGCCACACAGGCATCGGACAGAATACACGACCACCGGATTCCTTTAACGGAATACCCAAAAATTGAAGGCGTAGGCGATGGCCACACCTAGCCCTTCCACACACCACAAACACATATTTCCAATGCACAGCAGCGAGTTAAGCTGCTGTCCACGCCCCTTCCGAGGCACCTGGTTGGGTGCCTGCCCATGGGCGTGTTGCGCCAGCCAGGTGAGTGGGTGGCGGGGGGCAAACGCCCCCTGCTTGAGGCGGAGATCGGCTCCCGCCCACAACCACTCCCCTCTTTTGCAGGAGGAGAGTCTTTCTCTGAATTTTGCAAAGCAGTTCTACAGCCAAAATATATCTACAAAAGTGTAAATGTGTGCAAAAGGAACTCCTACACTGGGGGAGAGAGCAGACAAAAATTCATTATATTAAGGAAAGTTGCTCTCAGAATGCATATTGTTAGGCAAAAATTGCTTGCAAATAAATTCACATCAGAAGAAACAGATGCTAAAATACTAACAAACATTTGCGAGAACTTAAAAGATATGGAAATGAAATGAACTGAAATTAGGATTGGAAAAATAAGAAACTGAGAAAATCGGAAATTGACAGATTTGTCTATCCCTAGTCTTCACCACTAATTAAATAAAGGAAGATACCGGTACTTCTAATCAGAGTTGGAGGTAAAACATATGGAGAATTCACTGTGATCCAGTATTATTACTATTTTTTGCGCACTTGACGCTACTTTGGAGTTCTCCCCAAGGTGCTATCTGTGTAGGACATAGTGGTCTATGTGTGTGTTTAAAAAGCCCACATTTTGGTTATGATTTACACTGCAGATTTTTCAAAGAACATTACTGCTACCAAGGGAGAAGACATCCAGCTTTTCATAGATGGCATCTTAATCTAGAAAGTCACAAGTGAGCAACATAACTGAAGGCTTCAGAAAGCATTGTGGGGAGGGGGAAAACCAGAATAGCATTGCTGAAACTGAATAAAGGAAAATGATAGCCATTTGGGTAAATAAACAACAGACTAAGGTTGATCCAACAGTTGCTGTCACATCTGCTCTAACAGATAAGGAAGGGGTACAAAAATTCTTTAGAATGATACATTTATCAGACAGTACATACCACATCTAGCTCCTTTAATTTTCCACATGAGAGCATTACTGCATAAATACACATCTCAGTGCTGCACTTTAGAAGCTTAAAACAGGTATTAAAAGAAGGTCAAGAAGATACTATGAAACCAAGCACAAAAGAGAAATATCTGCAGTGGCCTTAAGAAATGGATTTGAGTGACCTTTCTGTAACAATATGGTAATCACTGGAGATATGTAGCATATGTTTCCTAGGACACCCAAAGGTATATTGGTATGCCCAAAATTAGAAAAAAAAGCCGTGCAGTTCAATCCTAAACATGTTTGCTCAAATATACTTTTTGTGTGTGCATATTCTTCTTTTTAACAATGATGATTTTATGTATGTTTTAAATTGAATTTTAATGATGTTTTGTCTCTTATTTTATCTGCACAATGCTTGGGGAGTGCTTGCAGTTTATAAATTTTATAAATAAATAAGATAAAATACACTCCATAATAAAGTTACATGATATTTGGTCTCCTTTAGGTATGTTAAGGATTCCCCAAAAAAAGTATGTGGTTTTTTTTGGGGGGGGAGGGGAGCAATGAAAACAGAAATTGATAATAAATTACTAGAGAAACTACAAGCTAAGCTCCTGAGTGAAGGCAGTCATGACACTAGATTTAAGTGCTTTGCGGTTTGGAGATGCAACGTGCAGTGACCTGGTTATGGGGGATGGACTTTTTGGAACAAAATGTCTTTGAAGAAAGCCTTGAATGTGTTAATCTTATTTAAAAGATGTGCCAGTGTCAGGTGACACATATAACTACATTTTATGTAGCTTTGGGAAAGGCATTTTCAGGGAAGAAGCAGCAAATGAGAGGAAGGTGTCTTAACCACCTCTGGATCTTTTCACCTGCAGTTGTCTCTATGCAGCCAGATCCCAGAAGTATGTTTGTGAAGTCCCTAAACATGTGAAGGTGCATAGTTATGTCTGTCTCCTTATGAGTGGCGGGCAACAATTTATTTGTTTTTCATCCATTCATGCTTCATTAAATTCACACAGTAAGAATACATTACAGGATTATGCTTTAGAACAGAACACAGTGTAATTCTGGTTTAATATATCTCATAATTAATTAAATGCATTTATCTCTTACATTTTTAACCCATTCTTTTTCAAAGAACCTTAGCATGATGGACATGTCGCTCCCCACCAATTCTCCCAAAAATTCAATGAAACAGTTTAAACTGATTGATATTCTCTCTAGTTCAATATCTACTACTATGCTAGCTCACAAGCATGCATGGTCAATTTATCTTCACTACTTATTTATTTTTAAAAAACATATATAATGGTACTCTTCAATGGAAAAAAGATATCAATGTACTATTACAACATTCAGATTCTCACACAACAATAATAAAAGTCAATTTCCTAAGGACTGAACCTGGGGTCAGTTCTGAGAAAGAACTGCATTCCTTCACAGTTCATTTTTAAAATAACTCCTGCAATTTTTGTAGTGATGTCACTATTGAAGAAAGGATTTTAACCACAGACACACAAAACACAAAGTCTAAACAAATGTCAAGATTTTGTGTAGAACACTTTTAAAGTGCACACAATAATGTCTTTTTTGTGCTTTGGCCATGACACTTGCATAATGCCTAACCACCAGCATTTGACATATAAAAATAAGTACGTTAAACAAACAAAAGTGAGCAAATCAGCTATTTCGATTGGATCTTCCTAGATCTTTCAAGATCTAGATTCATAAATGGAGGGAAATACAGAGATGTTTAGGTTGTGCTGGCCATTCTCTTCCATAAGGAGCACCACATTTGTGCAGTGTACATATCACATATCTCAAGAATGACCACTTATTCAGTTCAAGGGTGGGTGGTGGTTGAGACCCAGTGCAGCACTTCCCTCGTCCTCCCAAAGTTACGCCATCTTTTCCCAACAGCTGTTCCTCTTCCCCGGCTGCCATGGAGCCTACTGGGTTCCCTCCAAACTCAGATTCAAATTCTTGCCAATCCATGGTGGCTTGGAGGGAGGAGCAATTAGAGCAGACTGCATTGCCGAAGTCTTCACGCTCCACCAGCATAAACAGGGGCTGGTGTTAAGCACAGAACAGAATGAATGATACAAGCATGGGTGCCCCCCCCAAAAAAACCCCTTCACTAAAGTTGAATGAGATGCCATTTACTGTTAATGTACTATAATATGTGATTACTATCAGACAACATATCAGGAATACAATTTCTGTAGAAAGTAAGAATGTATCTCTTTAATTTGTGAAAATAACCCCCCATACCTGACATTAATTGCGCTCCTGTGAAGATTCAGGAGGTAAGACAACTAGCTAACACAACTGTCTTTAACTCCATTGCTGTATTTCACAATGATTTGGACCACCCCATATAACTACTGTACTGCCTTTAGCTTTGCTGAAAAGCCTGGTATCTAGTATCTTGTAGTAAAAGATCTAGGTCAGTTCTGCAACTCAGGTGTTCCACATTGGATTACTTGTCTTATAGCCATTGGGGATGCTATTCTGGAGGTAACCTATCTTTCTTCAGGTGTCAGACCATTGGTCCTTCCAGGTCAGTATTTTCTACACCAAGCATGACCAAACTTGGGTCTCCAGCTGTTTTTGGACTACGATTCCCATTATCCCTGACCACTGACCCTGTTAGCTAGGGATGATGGGAGCTGTAGTCCAAAAACAGCTGGAGACCCAAGTTTGGCCAACACTGGTCTACACTGACTGGCAGTAGCTCTCCATGGTTTCAGCTGCAGAACATTCCCAGCCTTACTTGGAGATGTGAGGGATTGATCCTGGGACCCTCTGCATGTGAAGAAGATGCTCTACCATTGAGCTGTACCGCCCTTGCCCAACACAGTCCCAGCTACTAAAGAACAGCTGAAATGCTCCCATCCGCCCCATTAGAAACTGGGTTTGTCAGAGCTGATTTAGATGGTTCAGGTGGATGTGTAGCTTCATGATCTGATTCAGATGTAGGTTTTGATATCTCAGGTGAGCTTGTAGCAACTTGATCTGTAGCCACTGTCAACCCTGCAGTGTTTGAATCAAATACTGGAAAGCAATTACTGACAGGAATGTTAATCTAGAAGCAGAGTGTTGGAGAAACAATAGAAGAATCAATTCTTCTCTGTTTAGATTTAGGGAGAAGGCGATGAAGTCCAGCACTACTTGGGATTTGGTCTTAGAAACAAATGCACCTTAAATCTTTTCAAAAGCAACACCACAAATCAATTATTAAAATTACAGTATGTACTGAACACTAAAACCTTTTGTTGCATGCTGAAAGTGTTTTTATTTCACCAAGTTTTTATATATATATAATAAACACCTCAGTTTAATTCAGCAGTGACAATTTATTCTATTTTTAATGATTTTATTAAATTATGGTGGTTTATTTATTTTACTGCACATTGCCATGGTTTTTTTTAATGTTGGCAGTGCATAAATATTCTTCCAAAGAAACAAATCAATAAATTGTTAGCTTCAGAGGCTTTGCCAAGGCACACCCTTTTATATTACAGTGTCACTTTATGTTGGGCAGCATGAAAAACGCATCTGATGGAATGGGCTTGAGTTCATGAAAGCATATGCCACAATAAAAAAAGCTTGTTTGTCGTTAATGTGCCGCAAGACACGTCCCTTGTTTTTGCTGCAAGAGACAGCTACAGCTACCCTTCTGGAAACAATTGAGAAAGATTGTCAGTTATGTAGTTCTTCTCCTTTTTGGACCTGCCGATCTCAGTGCCACAACCTTAGTCATTTGGTTTTCACCCTTTGGCTTGTGCTTATACTACCTGTGAGAGGGCAAAAAAAAAATGCACATCCTCCAGAAACAGCCCCAGCTGACTCAAGTCCACCCTTCCTTGCTCAGTTCCATGCCATTTTAAATTCTGAAAACTTGCAGTTTTGGAAATTTATGTGTTTAATTTACTCTTTGATTGGGTTGTCTGGATTTTTATACTTACATCACAATAGTCATTGGCTACAAATAATAACTATCTGATTGGTAGATTCTCATTCTCAATTCTAACAGGACTAGGATTTTATTTTATTTTCAAATGGCTACTAAAGCCAACAAGAAAAATTGATAAAAATAGAAGCAATAAATGCACATTATTAATTAATAATAATAATAATAATAATAATGCACAAATTAGTTTTGCCTACCCTTTCATAACTAAAGCTATACAAAATATGGGGAAACATTTCTTTATGACTGCAGCTGTCACTGGAATAACTTTATATGGAGAGACTAATATAAAATATTGAACATGGATCCATGCAGCTTACCTAGATAGCTGTAGCCTCCAGGCATGAAATCTAAAAGGTGCCTAAAATATTTATTTCACCACAATATAGCTGATGGCATTAGGCATTAAAGGACATCTTAGTTGCATAGAAAAGAACCTTGTATACTGTATACCACGTTCAGTATAAGCCTCGATACAGCTTAGGTCCAAGTTACCATACTTATCCCGTAAATACCTAGCAGGCCACTGTGTTTTGCATGAGGGTTTATCCCTGAAATATCAGAAGTCCATTTCATGATAGTTTGGAGTAGAGCTGTCCTTGTTCTGTGGAACAGCATTCTTATTGTGTTACAACAGGCACCCACTATTTGCACTTCTCATTTGTTTCTGGGATTTTGTTTGGACAAGCTTTTCCAGTGGGATGAAATGTTCTCTGTTTTATGTATTCAAGTTATATTGTTTTTTAAAAACACAGCTGTTGGGGGGTACTGTTTAAAACCATTTAAAAACTATTATAACCCTATTTTAAAACTAAATTGTCCTGAGACCCATGCAGAAGGAGATTAATAAAATTAATAATAAAGTAGCTGAAATCTCACCACCGATTTACAGTCTTTATATATGCATCAAAATCTGTGCCAGTTAAATAACTGATAAGAGAACAATTAGAACCAGCCATTCCAATACATTCAAAAGGGTTTAGTGTTTCCAATCTCACAAATAGTATGGTTCTTTAATTAAAATGTAGAGGTGAACAAAGGTTATCAGTATTTATAGATACAACCAACAACAAAAAACCTCCTTCCCCATATGAGCATGCTAATGTTTGCTGAAGAACATTGCTGAATTGTAGGTAACAGAAAATACTTATCTGCAAAGGAGACATATTCATATATATTTTACATATAAAACGTTTTTGGTGAAGTAGAATGCAAGCTTACACACCTGAAAAGGTTGTCTTGAGTACATACTGTTCTAACCAGCTTGCGGAGACTATCAGAGGTCACAAAGAGAAAGGAAAAATATATGAAAATAACAACAAGAGATGTGGAAAAACAATAAGAAAGGACTGGATAGTACTATGAACATCATAAGGTTAGATGTGTGGACATTAAAACAGCAGTAAGAAGCAAGAAGTTGATTGGATCCCTTCGGAACTTGAAATATGGGTACCCCCAACAAAAATTTAAAATTCAGCTGTGTAATTTGGAATTTATGTAATTTGGTTTGATTTGATGTGATTGGTCGGTTAATAAAAAATTATTCTTAAAAAAAGAAAAGGTTGTCTTGAGGAAGAACTGCAGAACAACAGATGTGGTCAATAACAGGAGCTCTATGAGCACCAAGGAACACAAGGTCCAAAAATGACTGAAACTGGATGGCACATGCTTATTCAGTACATCAGCTACCAATGGCTTAGTCTGGGCAAGGGAGAACTTTGGTCTTTCAAATTTCAGCAGCGCTCAATGCAAGGCCAAAATCGGCAACCCCCATCTCTCACCTTCTGTTCTGCTCAATTCATAACATCATAGTTGTGACGCCCCACACCATCCCCCTAGGCCAGGGGTCAGCAAACCTTTTCAGCGGGGGGCCAGCCCACTGCCCTTCAGACCTTGTGGGGGCTGGACTATATTTTTTGGGGGGAAATGAACAAATTCCTATGCCCCACAAATAACCCAGAGATGCATTTTAAATAAAAGGACACATTCTACTTATGTAAAAACACACTGATTCCCGGACTGTCCGCGGGCTGGATTTAGAAGGCGATTGGGCCGGATCCAGCCCCTGGGCCTTAGTTTGCCTACCCATACCCTAGGCTCAGTGCTGAGTGCAGTAGAACTGCTCACACTGCCTTCAGTCTGCCTCTGCTCTGTAACTATCTGTTAAGATGAAAAGTTGCCAATATAATCAGCTCTAAACTATTATACAGTGGTGCCTCGCAAGACGAAATTAATCCGTTCCGCGAGTCTCTTCGTCTTGCGGTTTTTTCGTCTTGCAAAGCACGGCTATTAGCGGCTTAGCGGCTTAGCGGCTATTAGCGGCTTAGCGGCTATTAACGGCTTAGCGGCTTAGCGGCTTTAAGAAAAAGGAAACAAACTCGCAAGAACTCGCAAGACGTTTCATCTTGCGAAGCAAGCCCATAGGGAAATTCGTCTTGCGGAACGACTCAAAAAACGCAAACCCCTTTCGTCTAGCGAGTTTTTCGTCTTGCGAGGCATTCGTCTTGCGGGGCACCACTGTACAAACTTGCATGGAAAGTTCCTGGGGGTGTGTGGGGGGGATATGGAGATTGCTTATTATGTCTTTTTAGAAACTGAAAAATAAAGTTAAGGAAACAGAGAAAATAACAGGATCTCACACCTGAGAAACTATTTTAGGCACACTGAGACACAAATCCACTCACCCACATACAAATATAAAGAGGTCAAAATACTCAAGAAGATGGCTTCATGTAGGATATCTAAAAATAAGATGCCTCTGTAAGTTGTTAAGGTTGATATAACTCTAACTAAAGCAATTTGACAAATGCTGTAGCTGACAGAGAAGTGTTCACTAGCATGAAATTGGATAAAAGGGATAAATAGCCCAGAAACCATGTGTGTGTGTTTGTGATCCTGACTCTTCTATAGTCACAACATTTACCACAGTATCATACCACTTTTAAAAAGTCATGGATTCCCCTAAAGAATCCTGGGAACTGTAGTTTGTTTTGGCTACTGAGAGCTGTGGCTCTGAGAGGAGTTTTCTAACAACTCTCAGCACCCTTAGGAAACTACAGTTCCCATGAGCCTTTTGGGAGAGCCATGACTTTTAAAGTGGTATGATACTGCTTTAGATGTATAGTGCAAATGGGTGCACAGCCATAAGAATTAATAAACAATCCGGGTCTGTATAAGCTTATCCTTACATCATGACGTACCCAAAAAGAGGTGGGGAGGGGACCACAAAAGTCTTTACTGTACTTTTATATGAAGTCTGGAGAGCAAAGGAAGATGTTTTGCATTGCATGCTGAGAAGCAAGTCAAAGCATGAAAGGCAATATGGTAACTTTACTTCATTTTTATGGGGTCTATATAAGCTGGAAAAAAATACCCTCCAGATAAAGCCATAGGAGATTGCATTGTATGTTATTTCAAGCAATCTCTGCAGAAATTACTTTGCTGAGCCACAGGTATATGAAATAATATAAAGCTGAGAGCCATGCTGAGCTTTCAGATACAGTAATCTCAGTAGCCCCGATACATTACACATCTACATAATGGCCAATCGAATAAAACCATGGGAAATAATGACAAATGGTATCAACATGCCACAAAGCTGTTGTTTTTGAAAGCCACCTTCTTCAACATCATGAGCATATTTTATCATTTGCATCCCAAATTTTTTTAAAAATCTAATTTTGCATCTGAAACATCAACTCAGTTCAGCAGGTGGGGTGGGAACATCAGTTTATTTCGCCTTTTCAGATATATCTATTGCCAAACATTTGTGAAGGGAGAAAAACATTATTTAAAGGAGTTTATGTATAATGAGTATTTAAATGTATTATACCCCTGTGTGGGGTTTTTTTCCCCCCATTTATGGGTGCCCC